CGCTGACGTATTTCTGTTGTAAAAGGCGTGCATATTTCTTGATTAGGTGGTCAATTATGCGCTAACTTCTGTGCTTAAATAGACATAGGTTTTCTCCTGCGATAATTATATATTTTGTTAATATACATACATATACCGTATCATATATTTCTTCAGTAGTTGCGGAGGGAAAAATGTTTTCTGCAATAACACTGATACTTTTGCGACTTTTGGACATGATTGGTGTGACGGGGGTGTTCATCAGCCGGCCTGTCAACCTGGGCCTGACGCTGGTACTAGAACCATTTTTGCAATTTTTGCAAGGCATGGTTAGCCTCGGCAGGGATCGAACTCGCGGTTTTCGGAGGTGCAGACATGAGTCTAACTCTCTGCCATCTCTGCCTCGCAACAAATACATATTGTACCCATTTTAAATAGTGAGCAGCCATAGGCCGACAACACTGAGTAACCTGATTTCGTCTGTGCGATTGCAGAAAACGTTTTTCCTTCCACTACTATTTTAAAAAATTTAATGCTCCTGCGATATCTTTTGATAACCGATGGGTGAATGATTTTTCAATTTTGCCGTTATGAAGTGAATCAGTTCAAGCTATCACAAGAAGTCCTCACCTGGAGTATCGTTCTCTAATTGAACGTACAGTTTAATCGTTATCAGAGGTAGTTTAGGCGTGGTCCCATCTAAGGTAGTAGTGTGGTTTAGGAACAGTTTTCTTTTTATTTCTCTTCAATCTACCAGTCCGTGTCCATTTATCATTTCCCATCTATTATTCACTGTTCCTTCATGTTTTTTTTTTACCCAAATCTTCATTTTTATTTGCCTTTCCCAGTTTATCTATCAATTCTGGGGTTCGTCTGCTTTGAAAAGGTAACGGTCATCGCTTCTTTTCAAGTTGCACCATTCGTACACTGTCGCCTGGTCTTAACTTATTTTGGGTAGTTCCATCATTCCCTTGAATATCACTCTCGCCAGAAATGACTGGAAAACTTTTCGCAGTTCCACCAGGTGACGATAGGTGATATGGTGTACGCTGTGGAGAAGGAGGAAAAAGTGTGGTCAATCTATTTACTGGTGACAAGTATGATGTGACTGATGTGCAACTTATAATATTTGCGACATAGTGAACCATGCTATACTGGAACAATAACGGGGAGCAGAATGCTGTTCCGGTTCATTAAGAAAATGACAATGCTCGTGCCAGAAATGACGGCATAAATATGTACTTTCTCATACAGGAGGATGTATTTAGTCACGGACTGGATTGCAATTTACCATGCTGGCAATTTAAACTTTTGCAGATGTTTAGCCGCTCAGCAATTCGGGTGGCATCTTGTATTGTCGCTGGCCGTCGCTGTCTAACGTCTTTCGCTTCGGTTCCAACCTCATCACTGAGCCGCCTTGCTACGCCTTCACAGTGTGCGTTGAATCAGAAGCGGTCAGTAAATCCCGATTTACATATTTATGATATCGTCTTAAAGTGTCCTGCCAGGACAACCAAACATTCAAAAGTTCTCACATCGGATGCCGAGAACAAAATTCTATAAATTTCCTGACTAGTACTAGACTAGTGGCCTAGAAAATCACTGCATGCCAAATCACATTCAAATGTGACCATAAATCCGATCAGAAGTGGAATGTGTGGCGCATCTTGAAGGTGGTTGGTGAAGTAAAATGGCTCTATTGGTGCTTTGTTCGCTTTGGAAGAGCTTAACCTGTATTGGCACAACCATTTCGACGCGGCAGATACCCTTTCAGCTGACATTTGTCTTGAATACTATTGGTCCGTTCAATGTGTCATCCTTTCTCTGTAGCGTTAAAAATGTTGATTTCACGATATTTTAGATTCAGCCAAGTCGAAGTGTTCGGGCCATTCGATCCACCAAAGCAGCTGACATTTAAAGAGGTAGTTTTATCTGCACAACTTTTTACTAGCTGTTTGAAAGTGAAAGAAAACCACTTGATTGAACATTGTTACTTATTTTGTAACTAACGATAAGTGCAAATCCATAGAAAAGACATTACTGTCTACTTTTCTCATGTGTGATTCTATGACTTCTGCAACCTTTGATCAATGAGAAGGTGTTACGGTTGAGAGAATCAAGCTTTAGTGTCTTGAATCGAATTACGTCTATATGTACATACACTGTAAGAGAACGAGCTCCTATTTTTTGAAGCTACTTTCGCCTCCAAAAGTAGTCTTACTATTCTAATCTATGCACACATTTTTATTTTGGTATTGGTCACTGAGAACTGAAAAGTAGAAATAATCTATTGTTTTCAAGACCACTGCTGGTAATTTGCAGTGATATGGCCGCAGCATCCTCGATTTTTTTTTGAGTATGCCAAATGTAGTAGGCTTTGAGGTGATGTTTTCACGGGATCGTATAGCTTCACAATTGTGACTGTTTTGTGAAGCCTTTAGCAAATAACTTAAAATAATACCCCCTTTTTTATAACTTTTGTATTCGCGACATCCATTTTGTATAATATGAGTCTTCGTCAGTGCAAGCATTTTGTCGGGAATGATCATTGTCTGTTCTTTTCGACGAGGTATAGCTCTTACATTTGTTCTAGGATAGTGTTTTTCCAGGAAAATTAAAAATTATGGGAGATCAGATGAAAAATAGTTCAGTTCGTAGTTTTTGGTTAGCGGCAAATAGTCATTGCACTTTTTAGGTTGAATCACGTGTATTGAAAGCTATACGTGCATGGGATAGGTTCCCTGCAGATAAGGAGACGTTGCTGAAAATCGAGGCCGATTTTATGAAAGATCTGGGTTTTGATTCACTCGATCAGGTAAGATATGTACAGCATAGCTGCACGTTGACGATTAATTGAGTGTATATATCGCTGAGCACCCACCTAATTACAGCTAAATACAGTTAAGCGTTTTAGGTGGAGATTATGATGGCAATAGAGGACGAATTTGGCTTCGAAATTCCTCTTGAAGACTCAGAGAAGCTGAAGAGTCCTCGTGACGTATTCAAGTACATTTGTGAACGGGAAGATGTGTTTGAATAGCTTTTTTGGTAATGTATTTTCGTGGTTAGACCTAGAGGTTGTACAGATTTGAGTTTGTTGTAGGCATGTCTTTGTCAATATCGAATTAACAGAACTTATCTATAGCAAAAAAAGATGAACAAAGCTTTCTTGTCCACGAATTTCATTTGGAAATCAGATGTCGTAAAGTAAAAAAAAACAACAGAATAATTTTCAAGGTGTAGAGTCCTTTTATAAACCATGTTTTCAAATCTTGACAGTGCGTAAATGCATATTTAGGTACCACATTGATGGACTATACCCTTATACCCAATTTCAGTCGGAGGTACCATCATTGGCTTCTTATCCTTGATTTCGGACCACCCATCGATGCATGTTTTCTGTTCTCATGCACGTGCACCATTTGAGTATTGGTACACAAGAAAGGGTGTGGTGCACTAGGGCAGAAATCGAATTTATTGCGTTTCGCAGCGCGAAACATTGTTCGTTGCGGGAATCACAGGTCGACTGATGATTCGCTGCGGGAACCTTTGGTCCAAACCCCGCGAGAAAAAAATTTGTTCAAGTGAAAGGCGTTGCTCTCATTATTTATTTTAGCGACCACAAAACTTTTCAAATGTGCCTAAGGCAAGTGTTCATAACAGACGGTTTTTCGTATGACTGTTACGTCGATTTCGCAGTAGTATTGTAGTGCAAAATGTGAAACATGTCCTCTCTCACGCCATACATATATGTATGTAGTTATATGTAGTGTACGTTACTGCCTGTCTTTGTCACATCGATTGTTCAGACATTAGCCTTGGCTGTAGTTTGGCAAGTGGCTCTGCTCACCGAGATCTTGGTTCAAAGTCCAAGTTGGATTGGGTCTTGCCAAGCTAATCAAGCGTTTCACCCTGTTGGGATCAGTTATTCGGTATCAGACCCGTGTCGTTGCATGAAAAGACGCGAGCAGACCCCCCCCCCAACGCGCGCCATGTCAGGCCAATGTCAGACTTTGCGAATCGCGCGATTCGCTAGCGTCCGCGG